TGAACCTATAGCTTTAAAGCTTAATCATTCCAACTCAAACTAGTCACAGAGTACTAATTTAGTCCTAGAGGACCTTTCTATTACTATAAGATAATAAATTGACTTCTTAAAACTTCCAAAGTCAATTTCTTAACAATTAAGACTAAAAGAAAATAGGGTAGAATTGGAGGTTCAGGTAGTACGAGACTTACCCGATAAGTAACAAGTCAGAAACATCATCCTTTCACCCAAAATCACTTGCCCTAGCAGAGCTACCCTTTTTCTCCATGCCAGGACCTTCTTTTCCTCTTTCCCCTTCTGGTTCATGAGCTAGCACACGAAGTCACTTATCAGAATTCTATACTGTGTGCTGTGGCACATCTTTGTGCAAAACACGATGTGTGGCACAGTAAGGGAATTCCTCACCGCGCTCACATGCTTTGATTCGCAATGTCGTCCTTCTACTCATATATGTTTATATAATATCCTAATGAGTCAACACAACACTCTACCATCGATAATCCTAATCTCATATTAAAATACTAATTCAATCCCTAATCAGTTATTAATGTAGGATTAAAAATTTAGTATGTTATGAGTAATGTCATAAGATCCAACTACCCTAAGATATTTGATTATTTGACTAGGAGGCTCAATCATTCAATTAGTGTGCATGACTCATCTAGTATGTAGAATCCTACTAACCTACAAAGGAAAATAAAAAAAGTCAATAGTAAAGCCTAACATTTATAATCTATCATAAATAGAATTTTCTTACATTATTATTATATACTTGTAATGAATATGTTAGGTTTTAAGTATAAAAGGGAGTTATCCTTTGAACCAAGGTTAATGACTTCTTTTTTTAGATGTGTTTGCATAATTTAAAGAGAAATGTCCAATAAAAAAATCTAACCAAATACAATTTTATCTTATTGAAAAACCATAATATTAATTTAAAGAAAAAGTCAAATACATATATTTACTATCTAGATGCCATACTTTGTGGACACATAAAGCGATTATGACCAATTTGTTGACATAATCCATAATTGTTAGGTTGATTGGGCATGGTCCAATCCATCTCGTTATGTATGTGACCTGAGCGAGGATGACTTTTCACCCTCATCGTTGATGGGTCAAGTATTAGAGTAGGACAATCAATTTGCAACCAGTGAGTCTCATCTCCTATTGGTTAGAACTAATTACTAAAAGCCATTTGCTTGGTTTCGAACCTAAAGACTGGATCCACATATTGGAAATGGCTAGTGCCTACCTATGTACAAGTAGCAATGGCATGCATATATGGATATTTTTTGCTTAAAACTCCCCACAATCACATTTTTTGTCAAACAAGTTAACCTTGCAACATTAGTGAAATTGAGGACATCGAACATTGTATAGCTCAACAACCTCAAATGACGTTCCATTTTTCTTTAAGGATGGCTCTAATCCATCTAGCTAAGGTGCTTGATGCAATGATATCTCCACTAATTGTTGCTCAACAACATGACATTCATAGGCAAACCCCACAAATAATTACTAGATTGTTAAAATTGATTATGAAATCATATTGTTATAATAACATGAAAATAACATGGAATCTCATCGATATTTACAAACTTCTCTTTCAACCAGTTACTTCTATGTGATTTGTGAAGGTTTGAAGCCACGTGCCATAAATAAAAGACATGATATCCATGTGGTGGCTGTTACCTAATATGGGGTTTAGCAATAATAGCTAAAATTGTTCAATGTCTGTTTGAAATTAAGCAAATTCCTATTCTATCTTTCATGTTGCAATGGTGTACAAGGTATAAGAACCACTCCTAAGAAGATCTTGTCTCTCCTTTAACCACAACAAATGCAAGTGATACAACATTGAGGTCACTGTCTTATGATATGGCCATAAGCAATGTGTCCTTATATTTTCCATATAAGAATGTTCCATTAACTTGTATAATATAATAGGCTTTAGGTATGAAAATGCATCTATGCATGCTTGAATGCCCTGCAAAACACAGTGAAACATTTCTACTAGTTGGCCATCTACACCAACTTGAGAGAATTTTTTATTTGAAAATTGAATGCATGAACCAGGCATGAAGTATTAAACTACAGCTAAGCACCTTAGGACTAAGGAGTATGAGGTATTCCAATTCCCCAAAGCAATGACACTTGCTAATTTTTTTGCCTTCCATTCTTTTTTATATGACATAGTATATCCAAACATGGATTGCATCTTCTTAATAATTTGATATGCTTCCACATCTGGCTTTTCAAATACTATTGCCACAATACAAGAGGATATAACATTAGCATCCAACTTTGGATAGTCTTGAGTTAATGGTGTGGCCAAGCATGAGTGGGCCCCCTATTTTTTATAATCTACCAAAAGTTTCTATTCTCCTTCTTGCAAGCCCTTACTCTCCAATTGTAGTTTCTCCATAATTAATGCATCGATATTCTTCATACTTATTATATGAATAATGGACATTAAATATGTGATGAACTTGAACAGAATATAGCTTGATTGCACGTCTTAGAACACATATTTCCAATATATAACTCTTCATTGTCACTAAAAGGTAGAATTTCTTCTACTTCATTGAACTTAAGAGCCATAAATGACTCAACATTAACATGCGACAAGAAAGCAGTAGCAACCTTGTTATGCTCATTGCTATCATTATAGTCATTGGCACCATTATCATCCCCATCACCAACATTTAAATGAGAATCATATTCATCCTTATCCTCATATTCATCTATGATGTCTTCTATTGGAGGAAGAGAACACGATGGCCCATTGCCATTATCTACAGGAGGCTCAAATGGGTGGGAATTTTGCATGTGATCACTAAACATGGATATTTGTTCTACAATGTTTGCTTGATTACTACTTGATGGGAGAGTATTTCCAACATAATTATCCATTGGTACGGTTGTGATTCAACATGGCCATCAACTTCTAACTCACATATGTTCGCATACAACTCTGCACCTATCAATTGAGTTGAAAATCAATGACTCACTTAACACAGTTATTCCATATCAGAATCATCCTTCAAATTGCACGCTTCGTACTGTGGTAGATTTATGCATGTATGATATCTATATACTAGATTTTTCATTAATTTATTGGGAGAAAGTTGTAGTTTTTGTCCAATAAGTTGCTTTAGTCTTTCCAAGGTAATATTTGGGTCAGCTTTCATTACGTTCACAATATTCAACTCAAATGTTGCACTAGCTGGGCCATGAAAAATCTATTCATTTGCAAATATACACATGAACTCTTTTTTGTGATCCATTCTACTTCTTAAATATTACATCGTATAATTAACACCCTAGTAAAATTAAATTATAAAAATAAATTAACTTAACTAATTTCCTAAATATTTATAAATTAATTACCTAACTTTTATATTTGAGACAGAATGAAGTATTACTTGCATGCAATAATCTTTTATGTACATTTAATTTTTTATTAATAAATTAACTACAATTATTCTTAGTGGCAGAACCACATCCTTAAGGGAGGCCATGTTTCACCACTCAATGCTATTAGGACTTTTTAGGTTTTCTTTGACCTATGATTTTTTTGATAGAATTCACAACTCCAACAGCTTTTTCCTTCTATGTAATCTATATAATATACGTGTGTTTGTTTGTTATTTGACCCCCTTTCCCTAGACCAAAAACATATAAGAATCTACCATGTTTGTAACATGCACATTTTTCCACATATCAATTATGACAAAAAATGATAATTTGCATAAATTAAGTTTTTTAATATGTCAAATATATAATTTTTCTATATTATTTATTTGATAAGTTTTTCCTATACTATTTGGATTTGTTATGATTAATATTATAGATATATAATTCCATATATAATTTATAGATATATTTGTTATGATTAATATTATATGGAATTTATTCTCTAAGATTTTTAAAATAATAAACTTACATAAATAATTAATTAGTATAAACATTAAAAATAAATAAAAATATAGAAGATTGTGTATTAATTTTAAAATCTGACCCCTGTTACATTTATGCTGATTCTATCCTTGATTATTCTATAAAAAAATTAACATGTCTACATCTACAATTAAGAAAAAACTTAACATACAAAATATTAATGATTAAATATTAAGCTTTTACTCATAATTTGAAAAAAAAAATATTAACTTTGATATAAAATTTGAAAAAAAAAATAAATTAAGAAAATGTGTCTTAATCAGAAGAAGAGTTAGGCTTTAAACAAATAAAAAGGAAGATAATAGATTTCAAATTCTTATCACAACACTAATATCACCAACTAGAGCAGAAAAATGGAATAGAAAGAAAAAACTTTAAGGTTTGAACAAGAAAGAAATGATGAACCATAGGAAATGAAGCAGGTAGGAAATGAAGCAGGTAGGAACGTATGTCTTTAATCCCTTATATAGCTAACTCAAAGCACATGCACAAGAATTTTATAATGTCATGCAGGAAAGCAAAAGTCGGAAGGAATTTGACAAATGAAAAAGAGATTTGATGAATGATTCATGTGAGAAAAAGTAAAGATTCTCAAATCAAATGTCACATTAATAAAAAAAAAAAGCTAAAATCATTCACCAAATGAATGATTTCACTTTTCATTGAATAAGAAAGCAAGTTCTAATTTTAAAATTGTTACTAGCTTGAACAATTTATTCACAATCTCAAACTCATTCCTCATTCAAATAATTTTTGGTGTAGTATTTTAAATACTACCCACATTGCAACATTTAAGTAATTTCTTTTAGTGCATTAGGAGGGGTACATACATAGAGAGAGAGAGAGAGAAATTTTGGTTACATCTGTCTTTACATGCAAATTTCTTCATTTTTTTCAAGATCCTTGAACATTTCAGAACCAATTTAGAACGTTCAAATTTAATTGAACAATCCCTTAACAAAGCATAACATTGTGTCGTACCCCTTCTGCCATCTTGGGTTTCTGGATATAAAAAATTAATGGAGCTTCAAAACTCATTTCAAGTAAACAAATACTACTCTTTCCTGATTTTCTCCCACATGATAAATACAGACCATTCAAACGTTCGTCAAGGAATCTTTTTTTTTTTTTTTTCATAACTAAGAAATTGCATATTGCCTCCTCACACGTGTTGTAACTGAGATGCAAGGAAAGCTATCGGTTTCCTATTGAAATGTTACAAAAGCTCTGAAATTCGTTGATACAAAGAAATATCCAATCTATGAGCAGAAAATTCAGCTTGCCTTCTGCCTCTTTATTCTCTCTAAAGCACCAAGACGTGTTACATCTTCATTCTTTTCACTACCCTCCTCCCTCTTCCGAACTAAACCGCCGAAAACGGCCGATGGGACATCCTTTTGAGCAATTTCAATTTTTTCATCATCTTCAGAGTCACTCCCTTCTGGTAAGTCAATATCCTCATTATTTGCATTAGCTTTAATTCCTCCATCGGTCTGTGACTCTACTCCAGCACTGACAAACCCAACTTTCTTTTCTAGCGAGGCCATTTGGTCCTCAGGTACACCAGCCTGTTTCAATGTTTCTTTGGCCTCATCCAGAGACACAGTTTGGTCCTTTTGCATCAGGTACTCAGGCAGTATAAAATGGGTCTGCAAAAACAATGAAACGTTACAGTTAAAATTTATGATGTATAGGAACTTCAAGTACATCTAGAGTGCAGGGAAAAAAAGAAAGAAAATAGTTAAGCCAAACAAACCTGGCTGTAGCTCGCAGAGACACTGCGCTTAATACGAAGCATTTCTCTGAAGGTGTCTTCGTTACCATGTTTCACCTCAAACTCATGCCACTTGTTCCAAAATTCAGAGTCTGATCGTGGATCTGCAAACTGTGAGGCAAAGATGTATACTCCACGGGCCCGATCAATTTCTCCCAAGCTTTTCTCCAACTCAGCATACTTCAAACACATGGTTTTGACATCCTTGTCTGGAAGACCAGACTCAATTGCCTGCTCATAGATTTCCCTTGTTTTGGGTACACCAAATATCTCAGCAGCACGAGCAATATATATTTCATACATGCTTAACTTCTCATTATTAGGAACAGCCTTCGTTGCTTGTTCATAAACCTTCATAGCTCGTTTTGCCAGTCCGTAGTCCTCCTCTAACTTTGCATATTGCATGTATAAAGGCTTTACTTGATCAGCAGGAGCCTGTTTGCAAAGCAAGCACCCAACAAGAAGGGTAAGGCTAGCAAGGCACATTAAAATTCCCATGATCATGGCAGTAAAGATAAATATGTAGGATAAAAAATAAATATATTTTATAGTCTCTTATTTTTATATACATCTTTTACCTCTTAAAAGAGAAAGCACCAATTTTGTTTAGGATTAAATTGCAGTTATGTCCTCGAAGTATCACACAAGCCACAATCGGTATCCTCAATTCTTAAAAAGTGCAATATCACCCTCGACCTTTCAAACAGTGCAATGTTCCCCAAAACTGACAAATGGCCAATGTTGGCTGTTATTGACTTATATTTGACTGAAAATAAGCTTTGATGCCACACCATGCAGGACACACAAGGCATAATTTTTATTAAACAAGTATATTTAAAATATAAAAAGACTTATATACCCTTTTCAAAATTAACAAAAAATCTCACCCCTGTTCTTGAGGTCACCAAATCCAACAACCCCAAAGAGACCCTGATGACAACCATATAGCATCTATCAACCACCATTGAGCATATTGAGTATTCACAAGCAAAAGGTCCATCAAACTTTCCAAGGTTTCCATATCTATAAACTCTCTGGATTACAATCTACCATCCTCAAAAGCCTCCCCAAATTTCAGTCCTTAAAGATTTTGAAACAAAAGAAAACCAATGATTACCATATATGGCTGATGCTTCTAGATATGAAACTCGAGACACAAACACTTTATATGGAAGGTTATTATAACTAAGGATTCAGTTACCAAGTGGGTTTGTCAGAGTTTCTTATCACTAGAACATTTATTCCTCATACAAATCAATATGAGGATGATGGACTTCATGACAATATATGTAAAAAAAAACAAAAAGACCTCACAATACAAAGCTTGTGTCTAGAGAATTTAACTATTGATGATGATGATGATTCTTGTTGCTTTAGATTTGTAAGGATTATCACTCAAAACCTACAAAATTTGAGTTTCTTCATTACTAGATGCCATTGGCATGGATGCGATGGGAATGAGCTTGTTAAGATCTGTGCACCTAATCTTCATAGCTTCGTACTTTCGGATCCTTCATCTGGGTTCATCATTAGATTGTCTGATTCCATCATCAAGTACACAATGCCAGAGATTTATCAGCGAATGATATCTCCTTCAATACTCTCTTCTCTAACCTGATTGGCTTCACTCCCCAAAAGAATGGATGAACGAAAATGATCCATTCCAAATTCTTACTTGGCAACCCTTTTGTTGGCTATAGTCATCCTTCATCTATTGGCAAGCACACCTTCAGCCAGCCCATTCAAACCCCTTCAAGCATACACCATCAAATCCCATGATAAGCACGAAACATAGTGTTGCACATTATGCTACTTTATAGTTATTTGATGGCTTTATTGCCTTTATGCTGATAGGTTACTATTGTCTTTTCATATATTTCTGCATTACAAATTAGTTATTGACAATATAGGGCCTTACCTTCTGGGACACGTGTCTAGGTTTAGGGTATATCTTGTATCCTACGTCCTTGGCACATTTTTGTGAATGAAATCAGTCTCTCCTCTCCCTTCTTTCTCTCTTCCCTTAACATTTTGGTATCAGAGCCGTCTCTCCAACCATGGCTCCGCCAGTGACTCGGTCCTCTACTAAACGCGTAGGCGACCTTGAGCATCGACTGGAGATGCAATCTGCATTGGTGGCTAGCACTCAGCTTGTTGTGGACAAACACACACAGGAAATATCCGACATGTGGCTAACCATAAACCAGTTTTCTACCCAACTCAAAAACATTAATGCCAAGCTTTCCATAATTATTAATCAACCTTCATGTTCTGCTAACCTTGAAGCCGGTGAACCTTCCCAAGCCCCCACCGTGACAAATACACCAACTAAACCAGCGACTTCAGCCTCTCCCCCACCAATCAATATTCCACCACCCTTATTTCCTAGACCAACCACGTCCTCCGCAACAGCTCCTCCTCCTTCCCTATCAACTCCACCTCCTCAGTTTGGTTCATTCCAAGGACTTATTCCCACCTCTCCACCTTACTTTGTTCCAACCAAGCACAGCAGAGTAGAGCTTTCAAAATTTGATGGTACATATTTCAAAGGATGGGCTTATAGGTGTCGCCAATTTTTTTAGGCGAACGAAACACCTGTTGAGCACCGCATCCGTCTTCTCAGTATTCATTTAGAGAAGCACGCCTTGCGTTGGCATCTCGCTTTTGTAAAACAAAGGCATTTGTCAGACCTCTCTTGGGATGAATATTTTCATGAGATGGAAGCTAAGTTTGGGGATATTAAGGATGAAAACCCCATGATTGCTATTAAGAAGCTTCAGATGCAAGAGTCTGTGGAAGAGTATGAAGAGAAATTTGATGAGTTACTCACTGAAGTCGACTTATCTAAAGTTATTGCCATGAATTGTTATATCAGCGGACTTAGGAGTGATGTGCAGCAGAGTGCTCTTAGTCTACAACCCTCATCTTTGGCCAGTGTAATGAAAATGGTGAGGCGTCAAGTCGCAACCATTAAGGCAATTCACGAGAATGCTCCCCCCTCAGCACTACATAAGCCTTTTCACGCCTCCTCTGCATTTTCTGCATCAGCTGCTTCTCGATTTCTGCCTTCCTTTCTATCAGGCCACGAGACCGAATCGAATCCCAACCCCCTTCCGTCTACGGGCCCTACTGTTGATAAGGCCAAATCGTTCAGCTCCACTAGTATGTCCAATTCAGCTTCGTCCAAACCCACTAAGCAACTTTCCAAGCGAGAGATGGATGAACGACATCGCAAAGGGCTCTGTTATTGGTGTAATGAAAAATATAGCAGCACCCATAGATGTCGAGATTCCCATCTCTTCGCCCTTATCGTAGAAAATGATTCAGAACTCTTTGAGGATACATTAGAAAAGATTGAGCCTCTACCCTCTACCGAAATGGTGAATGCGATTGAGGGCAGAGAAGGCACATCTACGCTGCGTCTTGCTGGCCACATAAAACGTCAGAGCATCGTCATCCTAATTGACACGGGAAGCACACATAATGTCTTAGATTCAAGGGTAGCTAAACGGCTTAAATTGAAGGTTCAAGAACGGGAGGGCATTCAAATTATTGTTGCAGATAATCGGCAGCTATTAGTCTCCAAATGCTGTTCGAATCTAGAATGGAAAATAGGGGCTTCTTTCTTTTCTTCTGATTTTATAATCATGAAGGTTGCGGCGTTCAATATGATTTTGGGTGCTCAATGGCTCAAAACTTTAGGGCATTTCTCCATAGACATGGTAGAGCATCTATTCGAATTTCATCAAAATGGTCAATTAATTACACTAAAGGGGATGAGCTACAGAATACCGAAGCTCATTATGCACACGACTCTCTTTGATGGTAATAAAACCATGCCTGATCTCTCTACTTCATTCATATTCCTCAACACTTGCAGGTACAGTAACCTAACAACTCTTCTTTCTCTTGATCAGCGAAACCAATTGCACAATTTACTCAACTCCTTCACCGATGTTTTTACTAAGCCCACTACCCTACCAACTTCTCGTTCTTTTGACCACTCCATTCCCCTTAAAGTAGACCAACCTATGAGTTGTAGACCTTACCGATATGGACCTGCTCAAAAATCTAAGATTGAACGGCAAGTCCAGCAGATGCTTGATAATGGAATCATACGGGAAAGCAATAGTTCTTTCACAGCCCCTGTTGTTCTAGTACAGAAAAAAGATGGCACATAGCATTTCTATGTTGATTATAAAAGATTAAATGAAGCCACTGTTAAAAACAAATTTCCTATTCCAACTATCGAAGAGCTCTTGGACAAACTTACAAGAGCACAGTTTTTCTCTAAGCTGGATTTAAGAGCCGGTTACCACCAGATTCGAATGAATGAATCTGATATTGCTAAAACAGCCTTCCACACACATAAAGGCTTATATGAATTAATGGTCATACCGTTTGGTCTCACTAATGCGCCTGCTACTTTTCAAAACCTTATGAATTCGGTTTTCAAACCTTTCTTGTGAAAGTTTATCCTAGCTTTCTTTGATGATATCTTGGTTTATAGCAAACAGTGGGCAGCCCACCTAGAGCCCTTGAGAGCAACCTTATCACTCTCGCGGCAGCATCAACTTTTTGTTAAGGCCTCTAAATGCATTTTTGCAGCAACACGGATTGATTATCTTGGTTATGTCATCACAATCGATGGGGTTCAAGCAGACTCAAAGAAACTAGAGGCCATAGCTTCTTGGTCCATCCCTTCCTCCATTAAAGCACTACAAGGCTTTCTCAATCTTACGGGTTACCATTGACGTTTTGTCAAAGGGTATGGTTCTATCAGCAATCCCTTAACTGAGTTGTTAAAGAAAATTGAGCGTTTCATTTGTTTTCCTAAGGCTCAATCAGCATTTGAATCCCTCAAGGCTTCCATGATTTCCCCTACAGTGCTTACTCTTCCCAATTTTAATGAGACCTTTGTGATCAAAACTGATACTTCAGGGCATGGATTGGGTGCAATATTATCCCAGAATGGCCATCCTTTGGCTTTTGCTAGTAAGGCACTTTCTTCACGTAAGAGACAATTGTCTGTGTATGAGCGTGAATTGTTGGCCATTGTTTTTGCTGTCAAGCAATGGCGTTCTTATCTTTGGGGATGCAGATTCATCATCCGTACTGACCATTTACCTTTAAAGCATCTTTTGGAACAACGTGACTTGAGTCAAGAGCAGTGCAAGTGGTTGCATAAACTTTGGGGGCTAGACTATTAAATTGTTTACCACAAAGGATGTGATAACGTTGCAGCTGATGCATTATCTAGGCGTTCCGAAGGGGGCTGTTTGGCCATTTCAATACCAATCTCTCCATTATATGAGAGGGTACGTGATTCTTGGCTTCTTGATGACCATTTACAGCAGCTGATTAGAAGTTTGGAAACTAATCCCCTTTCTTATCCTAAGTACACTTGGGAACACCAATTGTTGAAATGAAAGGGTAAGCTGGTGGTGGGTGCTGATCGAGGTCTTCGGGAGTCTTTACTTCAGTTTTTTCATGCTGATGGCATTGGGGGCCATTCAGGTATGACTCCCACCTACAAACAGCTTGCCTCTTTCTTTTTTTTTTTATTGGAAAGGAATGGAAAAGGATGTTCGCAATTTTGTACGTCAATGCACTACATGTCAGCACTTTAAACCAAAATTAATTGCCTCCCCTGGTCTTCTCCAACCCTTACCTATTCCGGAACATATTTGGTCTGAGCTCTCAATGGACTTTATTAGTGGCCTTCCCAAATCTTATTCTAAGACTATTATTTTAGTTGTTGTTGATCGTTTATCTAAGGCTGCTCATTTCATGGCTCTCAAGCACCCATTTATTGCTGTAGATGTGGCCAATATATCTTTATGGATAATGTGGTTAAATTGCATGGGTTTCCTAAGTCTATTGTTTCAAACTGAGATCCTATTTTCTGTGGGAAATTCTGGAAGGAACTCGCAAGGCTGTATGGGGTCAAATTACAATTTTCTTCAACATACCACCCCCAAACAGATGGCCAAACCAAGGTACTCAACCGCTGTTTGGAGTATTACCTCCGTTGCATGACAAGAGATTTTCCTAAACAGTGGGTTAAGTGGCTGCCACTTGCTGAATTATGGTACAATACTACTTTCCACTCTTCCATTGGTATGTCTCCCTTTGAAGCTATGTATGGGGTGCCTCCTCCTACTCATCTACCTTACATTGCTAGTGATTCATCTAATGAAATGGTTAATAGAACTTGTAATTCACAGGAGCTTACTATTCAGCTTCTGAAACAACACATATTGAAGGCTCAACATAGGATGATTCAACAAGCTAATAAGCATCGGTTTGAGATAAAATTTGTTGAAGGAAACATGGTTTTACCCAAACTACACCCTCTTAGGAAGAATCTCTTGAACAACTCTTCCTTGCATAAGCTAGTTGCTCGTTACTTTGGACCATTCAAGGTGTTACGGCGTCTTGGGGAAGTTGCATATGAACTGGACCTTCCTGCTAACACTAAGGTCCACCCAGTTTTTCATGTTTCAATGTTAAAGAAGTATGTTAGCATGGCTGTCCCCACTACCCCCACCTTACCCCCGGTGGATGATCATGGTCAATTTATGCTGGAACCAGAGGAATTATTGGGCAAAAAAATCATTAAGCGCCATAATCTACCGGTGACTCAAGTGTTGGTTCGATGGAAATTTTCTCAACCTGAAGACGCTACTTGGGAAGATCTTTCAGCCATAAAACAGCAGTTCCCTCACTTTAAGACAAATGCTCCAGCTTCTACCACTATACTTGTGGACAAGGATGTTTTTTAGGGGGGAGTATTGTTACACGTTATGCTATTTTGTAGTTATTTGATGGCTTTATTGTCTTTATGCTGATAGGTTATTATTGTCTTTTCATATATTTCTGCATTACAGATTAGTTATTGACAGTATAGGACCTTACCTTTTGGGACATGTGTTTAGGTTTAGGGTATATCTTGTATCCTACATCCTTGGCACATTTTTGTGAATGAAATCAGTCTCTTCTCTCCCTTCTTTCTCTCTTCCCTTAACACACAGCCCCTCCCATGGTTCTTGAACCACCCCATCCTCATCCATTCTCTGCTGCTGATTGCCACTCTGAAGCACAGGTAGGTCACAAGCGACAGAGGAGTGTGTCATGGGTGGACAACTAAGCATTAGGGGTCCAATTGTGGCAATTGGTCCAACCTATGTGTAGTATTTTACAGCTGGAATTGTGGGGCCCATGCGATATATTTAACATTGTTTTGCGATCCGTTAGTTTTGAGGAAACATTGCACTGTTTTTAAAAATTGAGGGGAGATGTTGCACTTTTGTAGACATAAGGATACCAATTGTGCTTGGCCAGATTACTTCAAGGGTAAAATTGCACCTTCACTCTTGTTTTTATATTGTCAGATGAAGGCATCAACGTCCCCATGCCATATGTAATAGTGTAAAGATATCATCAAATCTATACTCTCAATTCAGCAAAAGATTTGTCAAGAACTTTTACAGATGAGATACAATTTACACAGTTAAAAACCTGGACACAACCTGTTGGTAAAATTCACTCTAATGCATTCAGAACTTCACATATATGATATACCCTTAAAACAACTCACAAGATTAATCTACATTTAGAAGTCATATCATACATGCATGAAAGTTCAATTGATATAATGAGGACTTTCATTTACACAATTGACATATTAAACCATCCTACATTTAGAAGATAGGAACAGAATTTCTTTAGCAGCATGACTGTTATTAAACTCCATGCCTTTACCTTCCCTTTAGTTGACATCTACCCCGGTTCCCTCCCAAGTACCTTAAAACTCAAATAATAAGATTGATCAAAAAGATAAATAAATCACTGCCTAATATTGATCTATAATTGACTATATATATATATATATATCCTTTGGGGAGTTAGTTAAAAAATTAAAGATATCATAAAAATTGAGGATCATTAGGAAAGACGTGCATACTGTTTCAACAGCATTCTCAAACAGCTCTCTTGCTCTCTCCAATTTTGTTTTCCCATATCTCTTCACGAATTTCGAGAGATATGTGATCCATATATCTTTAACATGCGGGTATTTGAATATCTTCACGCCTCTTTCATAAACCTTAAATGCATCTTCAAAGTACTTGTGCTCCTGTGAAACGAAATGGAGATTTGTGAATCAAAGAGAACCGTTTAAGTAAAAACTGAAAAAGATGAAGTATAAAAATGTAAGAATAGTTTCATACCTCTAAGAAATATGCATAGTTAATTATAATTTGTGGAGTTGCGATTCTCAAATCCAATATGCGCTCATATACTGCACGAGTAGACTCCAAGTTACCCAGACTTTCCTCCAAGTCAACATAAAATGTCCACAATCTCAAGGATTTATGCAACTTCATTTGAACTGGTTCATTTCCATCAGCAGCCACTAAAAGTAAAGAATAAGAAAAAACATGAAGTTAGTTCATTCCCTGCACAGCCACAATGACACTTTCTCTTTATAAGTCCATACATTCCTTCTCAATAACCACAAGATGATCATCCTAGGGCATACAATAGCATGTGTTCTAAGTTATCATAATGAATATCATTATAATATGATAACAACAACAACAAGAAGGAAGAATATCATCGGAGTTCATATTAACACCTTATTCCAACAACAGCAAAACCCATACATGTCTATTAGAAATGCCTGAAGTAATTTTTTCTCCATAGTTAACGAGTGTTACATCATCAATGTTATAGACCCAGAATTGCATTTGAATTACAACAGAAAACATCTAAGATTGGTATGAATGTCCACTTCGCAAGAGAAATTTATGGGATGTTTAAGTCTTAGGGATATTGCACAAAGGATACAAGTTGGTGGTTTAATTGGAGAAAGGCTAAGAGTTATTTGCTATCATAAAGTACCTATTAAACTTAAAAAAAAGTTTTATCAAATTGCTATAAGACCAGCTATGTTATATGGTAATGAATGTTGAACTTTAACGAGCTAGCAAGAGTATAAAATTGAAGCAAGAGAGATGAAAATATTAAGATCGATGTGTGGACATCTATGTAAAGATAAAATTCAAAATGAGCACATTCAAGAAAAAGGAGGTGTACCACCTATTGAAGAGAAAATAGTAGAAAATCATTTGAGAAGATTTAGACATATATAAAGACTGCAGGAGGCACCAATGAGAAGAATGAAATAAATAATTTTAAACCCTATTAAAAAGAGTAGAGGAAGAGACCAAAGAAAACACTTATGGAAGTTGTTGACCAAGCCCTCTTAGCGAACAACATTTCTAAAAGTTTGGTAAATGATAGAGGACAATGACGTCACACAATCTATATAACTGACCCCACCTAGTAGGATAAGGCTTGTTATTTAAGTCCTGGGGATACCCAGCTTTCTCATAAAACCAAGGACAAGTCTCAAATCCAAATACTTTGAATGGATAATGAGCTAAATCATAATCCACCATGTCTTTTTAATTAAAAGGGCAAGCATTAATGATTTGAAGTTACAAGCGAGATTGAACCCGTGACTTCCTACTTACAAAGGAGTTTACATGCCACTAAATTATAAAGCCATTTGCCATCCATCATGTCTTTAAATGCTCAAAACCAAGAGCCCAATTAAGATTGAATACTGTTTAACAGGTCAAAATCATCATAAATGTTTGTATATACAACATTGACAGCTGTTGCATTTTCTGTACTGCAGTAACCAAAAAAAAAAACTCATAGAATAGTAGACAGTTACAATTACAAAGTAGGTGAATAAAAGCAAAAGAAAAAAAGAAAAAAAAATGATGCAATTAAAATCAAATTAAGATTACCTCTTCGCTTGACCTCAACTGATGGCTCTGCTGTGGCCCGCCTCATGAGCTCAAGGGCTCCTTTGAAATTCTTATGCCTCAATTCCATTTCTGCCCACTCACACCAGACACTAGCCAGATGAATCACAGACTTGTAATTGACTTGTACTGCCTTGTCAAATATAACTCTGGCATTGGCAAGATCTTTGTGATCTTCATATAGTTTTGCAAAAGCAACCCACAATGTGTGAGGTTTTCCCACTGCTTTCATAGGATCGACTGTCCTAACGGCTTCAGTGTAGGTCAATATCTGTCTAGTAGGATTGCCCTCAAACAGCTTCACCCTACGGTGCCACTGTTCTACATTATGAGGATTTTGACGTAAAAGAACACTGTTAGCCAATTCTGGTCTCCGGTCCATAAGATGTTCCAATCTAGCCAATCTCAAATCTATGTCATTTTTATCACTCAACCAAAATCCATGCAGAATCTTCTTCTCAAAGTCCTCTAGAGACAGTCTTCCAAGGAATCGAACATCTTCTTCATCTCCAAAGCCATTTTCTTGATCATTATCTTCTTCTTCATCACTTAAACCCAGCTCTTCCATCGTATAAGAAAGCATGCTCTCCTCAAACTGAGAGTATGAATCGAAAATCACACTAAAATCCCTCACTGTGACAACAGTTGACATCCCCTCCTCAAAAATATCCCTAGCCTTCTCATGCAAACCCCTCCTTATATAATACTCTGCCAGCGATGTCCAGAGTCTCCCCACTTCATCTGTAAACTTCCGAATCCCACCTCTAATTATTGCATCAACATTTAACCCAGAGACCTCATTGGCATGTCTGGTGAGCAAATCACACAACTCCAACCATAGCCTGTGCTTTGTTTTTCCCTTTATTGAATAAAACTGGTCATCATTTAACACCGAAGCCAACCTCTCTGCAGCCTCTTGCCAGAGACTAGAATTAATCAAGAATTCAATAAAATCCTCAATATGAGTAGGATCATATTTTAAGTACCTCCTATAAACCCGAAGAGAAGTCTCGATAGGGATTCCCTTTTGGCTCACGAACACAAGATATGGCTCCCAAATTCGATCATGCTGGGTTACTGGCAGCGCACAAAGGGCCCTATCAAACGTTCTCCGTGTCCGAGTGATCAGTTTCTGTTCAGTCAGAGTTTGAAGATACATAATCCAGATCCTGGGCATTTTGTGCATTGTGACAAGGGCACGCTCGAACGTGTTGTTCAGGGTGTCATACTGAGAGTGAGTGATGGGCAGGTTTCGAACAAGGTCAAGTCGTTCACGAAGGTACGCGTGCCAAATCTTGTAGCTTCCGGGGAGGGCCTTGAGAGCTCGCTCGTAGATAACGAAGCGTTTTTTAAATGGAGCTTCTGATCGAGCAACAAGATAACGCCACCATAACTTAAGGCTAAAAGGGTTCCGCAAGAGCTCTTCTTCATAGAGGAGGTCATCCTGAGATGGGTAAAGTTCTTGGGAAATAGACATTGACGATCTCGGGAGTCAGAAACTACACCGAAGCCCCTATAAAAATTTATGTGACAATGAAATTAAAGCATGTAAGGACAATTGATTGACCACTTTACCTTTGTTTTTTTTTTTTTCCAAAGAATACCCTACCTAATGTAAATCTAAATTGGCAAATTTTGTCAATGGAAATCTATTAACTTCATTCCTTAGAATGTAAGCCAGTCGAAGAATGTGAACGCAACTAAATGCTTCAAAACATCAATCTAACCTAGCCAAAACATTTCGAACTAACCAAATGATAAAAAAACAGCGTTGGTCAGAGGTTTCACAAACGGAGGCTTACCGACGGCAAATGACAGTCTCACAACGGAGGGCGAATTCAACGAAGGGACAAGGGCGTGCGTGGAAGACGAATACGGCAGAGGATCCGACGGCAGCCCACGGCTGCGTGCTAGGGAGGAAGAACTATGAAGGAGAAAGCAAGCAGAAGAAGAAGAACGACTGCGTGCTAAAGAGGAGCGTCGGGGTTTTTTTGCCCCTTTCTTTCTTTCCTGAACCAACTTTTTTTTTTTTTTTAATTTATCATGTCAGAATAATGTACTATAATAAAGGACCGTTTGTCCCAACCCCCAAAAAAAGTGACTTATTTAAAAAAAAAATTGTGGAATTTTATTATAATATTTATTTAAATTTTAAAAAATAATTAAAATTTAAAAAATAACTTTATTTTAATAAGTTATTTTGAGTATTTTAAAAGTGAACTGATAAAATAATAAAAAAATATTATAAAAATATGAATATATAGGAAGATATCATAAAATTTTAAAATAATTAAATAATTATTATTTTATTATTTAATCAAACATAAAATTATATTTTTATTTTTATAAAATTTCTATAACATAAATTTTTATAAAATATCTATATTAAAATCACTTATTTTTTAATTTTAATTAAAGAGGCCCATAATTATTTCATTTTGTTCATCTTAATATTTTTTTTCTTTTTTGGGTACTGAATAAATGAAAGCCTTGACCTATTAAATCATGGTCAAATTATAATTGAACCTGCTCTCAATTAAAACAATAGAATTTAAAAAATATATGAAAAAATATGTTAGATAATATTTAGAGAAAATGACAGTAAAATTCATTTAAATTAGGTACATGACAGATTAGTCGCACAAAATGATATAATTCCCTTAGAGTCTCTTGAGATCTTTTTATCATTAGAGAGTTAAATGAAATGACTAAATTGCCCTCAAAGTAAACAAAAATCCCAAGCCTCACTGAAGAAAATTTTGCTCGTGTTATAGGCTTTGCTTCATCTTATTCACGTTTCCCTCCTTCATGGTATTCTTATGGTCCATCTCTGTCTCCTTCTCCTTCTTCTCATTATCATTTTCCTTTTTTTTAGTTTCTATACATGGGTTATTTGTTTTGTTGAGCTGTTATACGTGGATATATAAGCAACCATTCTTCCTTTATTGCCTCTACTGTACATGGATAAATTTCCTCTTCTCCTTAAAATTTTTTCCTCCCATATATGATAGTTAAAGTTGATGTGGATTATTGTGCTTAAATGATTAAGGTCTTCATTTTCTGTTCATGCTTAAAGTTGAAAAATGTGGGTACTGATGCTTACTCTGCATGGATAAATGATAAATGATGTATCATTTTCAGCTATATTATAAACGCATAAACCAAAAGTTGTGAATAACAAATACAAAATTATAAATATAAGAAGAATAGTTGTTGTTGCATAAAATATAATAGATATGTAATCATGATGTTTAAAAAATAAACATGTTAATGAATGACTATTTCATTATTTCAAGTTAGCATAAGAAATGGTTTATTCTGCTTCTAGTTTGGAAAGGAACTATTTTGTTATTTCCACATAGGGGGACATTTTGTAAAAAATATATACAATATGATGGGTGAAGTGTGAGGACGAAAATGATGCAAGTTGTTGATCATGTAACTAATAAGAAAACCTTAGAGTTGTATATGTCACTTTTTAAGGTTTTCTTATCATTTAAATTAATGAAAGTTTTTATTTGTTAGATTAGAGTGGTATTTCATTTTTTATTGAATCAGTCAATTTATAGGGATACTAATAAATTACAATTCCTTATTGCATAGTTGCAAATTTAAGGACAAGACTTGCTAATATAAGAACCAAAGTTTTAAATGGAGACTTACAAATTTCTAACTTTGATGCATGTCTGGACTTGCATAGCAGCACTTGCAAATGGCTAATAAATAATTTAGGGACAAAATTTGTGAATACAAGAATAAAAGTTGTGAATGGAAAATTGCGAATTTCTAAATCTGATGCATGTATGGACTTGCAAATAGCTAATATATTGTTGCAAATTTAGGGACAAAAGTTATTAATATAGGAATAAAAGTTATTAATACATGAATAAAAGTTATGAATGGAAAACTATGAATTTCCAACTCATGCATGTTTGAACTTGCACACCAAAACTTGCGAATGGCTAATACATTGTTGCAAATTTAGAGATAAAAGTTGTTAACCTAGGAACCAAAATTGTGAATGAAGACTTGTGAATTTTCAACTCTGATGCATTTCTAGACTTACACAGCATGACTTGCAAATGGCTAATAAATTGTTGCCACTTTAAGGACAAAATTTATGAATACAAGAACAAAAGTTGTGAATGAAAAGTTACAAATTTCGAACTCCTAATGCATGTCTGGACTTGCACACCAAGACTTGCAAATGGCTAATAAATTGTTGTGAATTTAAAGACTAAAGTTGTTAATTATGAACTAAAGTTGTGAATGAAGACTTGCTAATTTTATACTACCAAACTTTTCTTGCTGAATTTTTTTCTTTAATTCTTTTATTATTTTATACTTTGTTTATCTCCATTCTTCTATTCTTTTATTAAACCAAACTGTGCTTGCTAAAAATTTTGTTTCTATTCATATGCACACCAAAACTTCATTTTCTAATGCTTAGTTTTAGTCTAGGAAAAGACTTATTTTAAATAACTTCACTTTCTTTTTTCTTTTTTTTAAGGTTTAGCTTTTGCTATACACACATGCAACATGAAGATTTTTTAATCAAGTTTAAAATCATTTGCCTTTATCTTCCATATATTAACTTTTAATCTCTCTCTTGCTCTCTCATAAGCTCAAGATATATATGTTCAAGAACACATTAATTAATTGAAAATTCACAATGCAAATTCCAAAATTGATAAAAGGAAAATTATAGAACTGCAAGAACATAGAAATAAGGGGACAAAAGGGAAAACAACCATAGAATTGTAGAAAGGAGGAGGAGGAAATCCACGCTCACAATGAAAATGGCCATGTAGAAAGAGAAAGCGCTAGAGAAAGTGTTCACAAAACTTCATTCTTTGTTGCTTGAACCCAAGCACTATTTGGTGTTTCACACTTACTATGAAATACTCAACCGATGAATGAAACTTTATTCTTTAAACCAAGAAATCATTACACATATTAAGAAATATTTAAATAGTTATTATATTGATAAATGTTGAAACAATCATTACATTGAACATCTCCTTTCACATACTAAGGTGGCTACCCCCTTCTCTTTCTTGTCTTTTCTTCATCAAATAATTTCAAGGCCGCCTTTGTTTTTTTTTTGTTTTTTGGATAGTTAATCAGCCACCATAGTAGCTCTTTAGCCTTAAAGTTAGTAACTTCTTCCTGCACCAAAGAAAGAATAACAAACAAGTACAAAGAATAACATCAAACAAATAATAACATATAAGTAGAAAGAATAACGTCAAAGAAAATGCAAGCATCCATCAGTGAAGTCTTGCAACACTAAGGGATCTCATGTCTTCAACCAAATCATGATAAGAACACCACAATCTTTCCTGCAAATATATAGCATATAAATAATAATCACAATTGGTCAAAGGAAACAAAGGCATTACATAAACAAGATAAGCTGTAATAATAGGTAGAGAACATATAGATTATTTTGTTGGGATACCAGAGGCTAAATAATATCAGCCATTAGTTTCTTTTTGATCAAATTTTAATTCACTAACTCAATGATGTCGAAGAACCTATTTCGCCACGAAGGAAACAAATTCATACTATCAAAACCACATGCACGCAAGACTTACCATTAAAGTTGACTAATAGACCATACACATATATTCGTCAATAATCTTTTTACATCTAAAGCTCTATCTTTTTTCCTTTCTTTCTCCTTGGTTCAATATCACTATCCCCCTTTAGGGATAGAAGTTCATTATCTTCGGCTCTAGCACGAAACACATCCAATGATGGTTCACAAGAGCTGGATTGAGGATAAGATTGCATTCAATTATGTTATATCCTACATCTTTGGGCAAAATATCCCTCTTGTTCTTTGCTGCCTTCTAAACTAGGGAATTTGATGTCATTTTGCACTACAACAAGAACACGGTATGCTACAAATTACAAAAACAAAACACAGTATGCTATGCAAGTCTAGACATGCATCAAAGTTAAAAATTCACAAGTTTCCATTCACAACTTTAATTCCTATATTCACAAGTTTTGTCCTTAAATTCACAACTATACAATAATAAATTATAATTTATTAGTACCTTTGTAAATTGACTGAATCATCAAAAAATGAAATACCACTCTAATCTAACAAATAATAACTTTCATTAATTTAAATGACAAGAAAACCTTAAAGCTTGTCAGTTACATGATCTACAATTTGCATCATTTTCACCCTCACATGTAACATCCAAGAACTTTAAATCTAAAAAATTGACTGATTAAGGGATAAATTAGTTAAAAATATGATTAATTAATTTAAATATATTTTTGGGTTGTTAATTAACTTTTTGGGTTATATTTGGCTCTAAATTGAGTTAGGATGGAAGTCAGATCAAGTCGGGTGGTATCAAAGAGAGCAAAATCAACATTTTGCTCACTGCGTCGTGAGTCATGGCTTGTGTGGCGTGCGCTATGGCACACAGCACAGCAGACAACTTGAAATTTCAAAAATCATCATAAAATGACAATTTTTGTGGTGGGAAACTCAGAACACGATGGGGTAAGCTTTAGGCACTGTTAGGGCATCAATTTGGGAGGATTTTAAAGATAAATTAAGCCTTTAAACTCTTGAGTAAGTTTCCTACTCTTCTTTTCTACCTTTTCATCTCATTTTCCATGGGATTTGGAAGGGGGAGAATTTGCTTTGATTAGATTAAACTATGAGTCTATGTTTTGAAGCTTTCTATTGACTCTAAAGGTTTGATTTAGGTTTATTAATCTTGGATATGTGGTAATATGAGGCTACTTTATTGTTTGGTGAAAGTTGGATCAAGCCCTAACTTGATCATGGAGTTTTGAAGTGTGATAAGTTGAGATATTAAGTGTTATGTTGTGATAGAGTTAGAAGGAGGCTTGAAGGGATTATGTGAACAAAATGTAATCTTAAAAAGCCTCTTTGTTGAGAATATGAGTGAGAAGTGGGAGAATTGGGAGGTTATTGGTAGCTATTAGTGCTTGTGTTAATTGAAAATTAACATATA